CTCAAGAAGCACTCAGGGGAACAATCTCCCTGAGTTCTTGCATGTTGGTAACAGCTTGTGCCTTTTATACTTGAAAGTCATTTTGCTGAAATACAATTCTTGGCTCACATGTTCTTTCTTTGAGTATCTTAAATATGTGACTCAATTTTCTTATGGCATGACAAGTTGTTGTCCCAAGGCTGGACGATAATCTAATATTCAGTTCCTTTTAAGTCACTTGATGTTTTTGCTCAGATGTCCAATTTTTTTCCTTTAAAAAAAACAAACAACAACACAGGACTTTTATTAGTCACCACCCCTCTCAATTTGTTATACTGTGATGTGTTCCTGTGATTCGGGAAGCCACGGCACGGGTTTCTCAGATACCTGCAGGGACTGGTGGCAGGTTTCAGCAGAGCTTCCAGACTACGAATACACATGGGAGGAGGAGTAAGCAATTACAAAAGGATCAGCCGCTGGAAACCTTGTGAACAGCAGGGAACATTGTCTGCTACAGTGTCAGAAGATGAGCCCTCAGGTTTGAAGTCATTATAATACGACCTAAGAAGGGCTGCCTCCTCAAAGTAGCGTCGATCGTATTGACATGGATGGGGCAAAGCCTTGGGGAGCTTCATTTACCGATGGGGCACAACACAAAATGAGAAGAAACAACTGAGGATATCGACTAATAATCGGAACATAGCATATCAAAGCAAAGGAGCTGTGCTGGCATAGTGGACCACAAGTTGGGCTTCAAAACCACCAGCTGCTTGGCAGGAGAGAGAGATGAGACCTTCTACCCCCATAAAGATTGAAGTCTCAGAAACCCATAGGAGCAGTTCTACTCTGTCCTATAGGGTCAGAATCAATGCAATAGCAATGAGCTTGGGGTTTGGTGGTGGTGGGGTGTTTATTATGAGAATTATATCATCGTGTAGCCAAATGATAGATGGGGAAGCATCTCATTGTAAAATTATTCCAGTTGACAAGTGAAAACAACATTCTATAATTGGAATATTACCAGTTTTTTAACCCATAGTGGATTTAATGGATAGAGAAAAATAAAATGTATGGTTACTAACATTATTTAAAAAGAAAGTCAATTCAGGACTATGTGCCTTTTGGTAAAACAATACAATGCCAACTATAGGCTAGTCTTGCCAAAGGAACTGAACCTGAGTCTAGATCCAGTAATCAATCCAGTAACACAGAGGCCATTAGAATATTCTGAATGCCCTACAATGAATTCAATCAGCAATGTTCTGACTGGAAAACTCCACAGGTTAGGGATTCTTCTAGGGTGGTCCTAATCCGGTATGCTTTTATCACCTGAGAGCTATCTGGAAATTCAAACGTTCAGTCCTCATTCTGATCTACTGAATTAGAACTCATGGAGTGAGGACCCGGCAATCGGCATTTAATTAATTAATTTATTAGATCATTTTATTGGGGGCTCTTGCAGCTCTTATAACATTCCATGTATCAATTGTATCAAGTATATTTGTATGTCCATATGCTGCCATCATTATTTTCTAAACATTTACTTTCTATTTGAGCCCTTGGTATCAGTCCTTTTTTTCCCCTTCCTACCCCCATCCAACCTTGTGACCCCTTGATAAAAATTATAAATCATTATTGTTTTCATGTCTTACACTGACTACTGTCTCTCTTCACCCACATTTCTGTTGTTCATCCCCTTGGGAGGGGAGATTATGTGTCGATCATTGTGACTGGTTCCCACTTCCTCCCCTCCTCCTTCCAACTTCCCCGGACCCTCCTGGAATCACTACTCCCAATTCTGTTCCTGAGGGGTTTATCTGGCCTGGATTCCAGGTGTTGTGAGCTCTTATCTGTACCAGTGTACATGCTCTGGTCTAGCCAGAATGGAAAGGCAGGACTGGGGTCATGTTAGTGGGGGGAGAGGAAGCCTCAAAGGACCAGAGCAGCAACCAGTGTCCTCTCAGTTAGTCTGATTCAAGCTGAAGGAGGTCAACTATGTGTCAAAGTTTTCATTCTTCAATAGAATCACAAAAAGTTAAAAAAAGAAATAGATGGAAGAAGTACTTTTACATTAAAACACATCCAAGTTTTAAACTGAAAAAGATAGGTGAAAAACCGTTGAGAACCTGGATGAAGTTATTCATAAAAAGTAACCCTTGGGGTCAGTTTGGGAGAAAGCTGTGGCTGTGGCTGGTTTGGGGCACATGGAAGGATTTCTGCCTGGAAAAGGTCTGTTTCATGTCCTGCGTGCCTGTCACAGGGCACTTGGTTGGTGACAATATATTCTGTATTATTTCCCTTTGGGTTTCCCTTCACCATAAGAAGCTGTAGAAAACTACTGCTGCTTGAATGACACCGTATAGCCTCTCGGGCCTTCGCTTGTTTCCTGGAGCCATGAGCAAGGAGCGTTTGCTCACTCTGGAGTTTCACTTCACAGCCCACCATGCTGACCGCCAGCAGGGATTTGTCATGGTACGGGAAATGACTTCATAGGTTCTAATTCTCGAGGCCCGTGCTTGACTTGCTTTGGGGGAGTGGAGGGAGTAAAAGGGCTGGATTCACTTTGACAATCATTTCCTCTCCTCTCCCATTTTACCCTTTACAGCTGCCTGAAAAATGGGCTCTCACCAGCAGCCCGTCCAGGAGAAGGAGCAAGGTGTCCACGTGGATCCTCTGATAAGACCTCCTTGTGCCTCCTTTCTCACAGGAGGAGTCGTCTGAAGGAGAGCTAACAGTGGCGAAGGGGAAGGAATCTTCATGGACTGGCTGCCCCCACCCCCTGACTAAGGAGCCCTGGTGGTCCGGTGTTTAAAGAGTGCCACTGTGAACAAGAGACTGGTGGCTTTAACTCTTCAGCCACTCCATGTAAGAATGAGGCTGACGTCTGTTTCATAGGATGTCAGCCTTGGAAACTGTGGGGGTAGTTCCACTCCACACTAAGGGTCACTACGAGGTGGAATCCACGGGACAGGCACAGGTTTTGTTTTGTTCTGCCTCACCTCTACTCACACCTCTGTAGCTCCCAGGCTCTGGGCTGTCGATTTAGAGTGCAGGCAAAGATCATTGTAAAGAAGCCTAAAGCTACTCACCTGGTTTGGAAATCTTGACATTTTCTATTTCGCTTCTTATCAATGAATGCCGAGTCCTTCTTAAATAAGTATTTTCATGACTTAGCTTTTTTTTTTTTTTGACTTAGCCTTTTAAATGTAACTTTCATATTCATTTATTTTTATTGTGTTTCACCAGAATACCATCCTGTGACTGATTGGAAATTAGAAACTAGAATGAACACGAATGAGTTCCCTACAGAGAGTTTGAGGAGCACGGACACAGATACCCTAGAATCAAGAGATCCGTTGATGAAAAGACAGCACAAAACAAAGTGAAAACGAGAAAAAGCACTGAGTGAGAGAGCTGACTTTCCTCGTGTAAAACTGACAAAGGACTGAAAATCCAGACCAAGTTCATTCAAGCCAACGAGAAGAACCTGAGCAGAAGAGCCTGCCGGTCATGTCACATCAAAGGAAATCCTGGGGCCAAGAAGCGTGTGGCATGTTCAACCTCCGTCTATCAGGGACAACGAAAACTTAAAGTCATCAGAGAGGTCAAAGGTCAGGCTCACCGTCCTGAGGGTGGCTGAGGACACAGGTGTCCACCATGATGGAAAACCAACAACAAAATAATTCTAGAAAATTGTCTGACAATATCTACCAAAGCTAGCAATTCAGTTCCCAGACACACCACAAATATTTGGCCTGAGTTAGTTGAATGGCAGGTGCAAGAATCCTCAGACATGCTGTCTCTGCAGTTCTCCCAAATTGAAATAACCTGAATATACCGCCGTCCAAAGAACAGACGAGATGTGGTATGTTCATAGCATCGAAAACTAACCCGCCGTGAACCGTCACAAAGCACGCAGCTTGGTCCAACAACACCATGAATCTGACAAGCATACAGAACTGTTGCAGGGGGTCACCATGGGTCAGAGAGTTTCAGTAGACAGACTGGCTTATCAACTTACTTATATCTTGGCGCTACACTTTGTCATCTGGAAGGTAAGGTCCTTCAGGTGAGGCCTTGTGGGGAGGAGGTAGATGTTATATCACCGATAGATCCTAGAGCAGGGAAAATGTCAGAGTTAGACGCACAAGTCTATGGTATCAAAGTTAGAGGCTGCTACTGGAACTCAGGACGCCAGACCTCCTGTTGCTGGAGTCCTTGCACTAGAGACCCCCCCTCTCCACCCCCTCTACCCCACCCACCCCCACCCCCACCCCCAGCAAGAAGCACATGGAGACCTGAACTTTCCCTGCTGTGAGAATTACCAAGGGACTAGGCTGAGGGGAGCTGTAGGCGCTTATGACCCTGGGACAGGACAATAGGACTGGGCAGAGACAGAGGCTCCAAATAATAGGTGCAGTTTCTCCAGCTCTATATCTTTGGCTAGAAACCATGGTGGCACAGTGGTTATGAGTTAGGCTCCTAACCAAAAGTCAGTAGTTTGAAACCACCAGCCTTGCGGCAGGAGTAAGATGAGGCTTTCTACTCCTGAAACGAGTTGCAGTCTCAGAGACTCCTGGAGGCAGTTCTGCCCTGTCCTCCAGGCTCGCTCTGAGTCCGAATACACTTGATGGCACAGTTGGTTGTTGTTGTTGGTGGTGGTGTTTCAGCATATCTTTGGCTCAGTCTTCCTGGCAACTGTGAACGCTGACAGTATGTGGCCCAGGAGCTCTGGAGCCACACTTGTATTTTGGGCTGGCTCAGGTTGGATTTTTATTAGTGCTTTCCCATTTCATGTAGTTAAGTGCCTGGTTCTCACAAAGGGTTTCCCCAACTTATGCTGCCTCCCTTCTGTAGGCACAGCATCGCAGGCACTGCCTCCTGTGGGGCTCATGGGTTCCCAATGTACTTTCACTCTGCCCCTCCCTAATTTCTTTTTAATTCATTGTTTTAGGGTAGAGGAAATATCTAAGAAAATGCTTGTCAATCCAACATATTTTTACAAGAACAGCTCAGTGACATTAGTTATGCTCGTCATGCTGTGTAACCATCACCACTGTCCATTTCCAAATCATTCTACCGCCATTCACAGAAACTCAGTGCTTCCTAAGCAAAACCTCGTCGTGCCTCCTTCCCTCTCACCTAGAGAAGCCACTAAAAAGCTTTGGTTTATAGGCCAATGTCATAGAAGTGGTATCATACATATGGTCTCTTGTGGCTGGCCTGTTTTGCTCAGCGCATTTTCAAGGGTTGTCAATGTTGTAGCATTTATTATGACTTCATTTCTTTATGGCTGAGTAATATTGCATTGTATGCATGCACCACATTTTGCTTATCCATTCAGGTTGGTATATATAGACCATTTTTATTTATCGTAATGCTTTCTGGTATCTTGAATAGAGCCAGAGGTTTTAGAAAAGCAATTTTTCATGGAAGCACACCTGCCTGTGTGAACATGAGGTGTTGATGTTCAAAAATAAGAAATAAAATTGATGTGAATGAGTATGGACAAAGTGGAGACCCCAAACCCACCTGTAAGATAATTGGACACAGATAAGGGCCACACGGAAGGGATGATACACCCAGGGTGTGGAATAGCACTGATGAAATATATAACTATTATCTAGTTCTTTAATATTTCCTCCCCTTACCATTGCGGCCTTTGTTTTATCTCATTAATCTTGTTAGAACTGCATAGGTCCATTTGTACAATTAAGATTGTTTAATGCATGAAAGCCAGGCTAGATAACCCTTCAGAAATAGTAATGGGAGTAACGATGCCCTGAGGGTACAGAAAGGGTGTGTGTGTGTGTGTGTGTGTGCTGATAGTACTGATGAATGTATAACCCCACATGAGGGGAAAGAACAACAGAATTGCAGGTGAATGGATAATTCAGATGATGTAAGATACAGCAATAAATCAATTAATAAATTAATATGATAATAAGGGTTCCTGGGGGGTATGGTGGGGAAGGGAGGGGATAAAGAGGAGCTAATATCAAGGAGTTCAAGAAGAAAGAAATGTTTTGAAACTGACGGTGGCAACAAGTGTACAATTATGCTTGATCTACTTGAATTATGAATTGTTACAATATCTGTAAGAGCTCCCAATAAAATGATTTTTAAAAAAGCAACTGTTTTCACTGTCGATTAACATTCCTGAGTTTTGATTTCAAGTCCTTCCCAACTTCTCCATGATCATGTATGGACTGTCATCTAGCATCTATTCCCGGGAACCTCTCCCTCTGCTGGCGGCTTCTCCTCAGGCTTCTCCAGATCTTGCTGTGGGGCTGCCTCTCCACCCTCAGCCCTTCACTGCTCCTCTCTTAGGTCCCCTCCCATTGGTCCTCCTGCTGGGGCACTAACCTGAATCCCCCCACCCCCCAGCCCCACCCCGCCCCAAGCTCAGGCCCCACCTATGGTGCCCAGAGCCACTCCTTCGCTTGCTCACCCTGTCAGTGCTCTAGCCACCTCACGCAGGCCCTCGCCGAGTCTTTGAGGCTTTTGATGGGGGAGGGAGTAACTTGAAGACTGAAGTTGAACACTAATACCTTTTGCTCCAGATGGAAACAGGTTATTGAGGCATGAAACAAACTTACTTTGTAAAGTTTGGCAATTTGTGTCAGCGTGAAAGATGATGAGTGAGTGACATCTCCTCTTAGACATGGAAGTGTTCATCAACCTCAGTATGCAAAATTACTGCTTTCTCATGCAAAACAAACAGGGTCTTCCCACTTGACCAGTACACCCTCCCATTTCCACCAAAGAGCATTGCCTAGCGGTTCCCACTCCATAAGAAAAGCTTTAAATTTTACTCAAAACTGTATTGAGGAAAGAGTTATATTCGTCAACCAGATGAAACAAAATGCAAAATGTTAATTACGAGAGTGAGAATTAATTTTCAGTTGTCTCCCTGCGTTTCTTGAAGTGTTGGAGTGTTGCCGACCGCTGTTTTGTGGCTCACGTCAGTGAGTGACTCACTGTGGGGAATAAGCATTTAATTCAGGAGCAGAATGAAGATTAATAGTGTTCTGTAAATCTGGTAGGTTCACAGTTTGAAAGCTTGTTTTGCACAGATGTTAATACTAATTTGTAGCTTTAATACTACCTTGTAGCTTTAAAGTACTTCTTCTATTATGCTGATGTTCCACTCCAGAATCCCCTGTGGAGTGTTTTTGTCTGTTGTCTTACTCAATTCCCTTGACACCTGTTCTTTCTTACCTGGCTGCAAGAAACAGTCCACCCTCTAATATGCCAGCAAGTAAGGAGAGGACAGTCACTCTT